CAGTTCTTCTGAGGTGATAACCTCTATCTTTGACTTGTTAAAGTGAGGAAGATCGCACTGAGAGGTTACCAGCCCATTTCAGGTTACCCTAAAACTCTAACCTTGGTAGCTACATGGTAGGAATATCCTGATGATCCTGAAAGACAGCAAGAAAACCCATGTTTCAAATCTGAGTATTTGTTATAGGTGCGTAGGTGTGTATCTGATGAGCAAGCTTTCCCCCTGAAAGGTGGGCTACTGCTTCTAATACACCTGTATAATCAACTTCAGACTAATTTGAGTAGTTCAATATGGCACTAAATTGTGAAACATCTGGCATCATCTGCCACTAAGTTCAGTCATGCTGTGTGCTGTAGTAGCTTTAGGGAAAAAAAGTCATCTGCTCCAGACTCAGCCTAGGTATAGTCAGTTGGACTGGACATTTCATCTCTGTTAAGCTGTTGAATTGTTGACTTGTTTAAGCTCGTGCAAGTACCCTTTTTGGATGCAGACTGAGTCTGTGTACCATAGAATTGGTGGTTTGTGGCCAGTAGAAGGACTAATCTGCGTGCAGACCTTGAAATTCATACTTTTCTCTCTAATTTAGAGATCTACAGTCTGTGTGTTGATGTGTTGGATGGGGAGGAGCTAGGTAGGTCATCTATTTCCAGTCAGGGGAGACCATAGAATCATAGAATGTGTTTTAGATCGGAAATGACCTTTAAAAACCATGCAGTCCAACCCCCCCCTGCCACAGACAGGGACATCTTCCACTAGGTTGGGTTTAACCTGGCCTTGAGCATTTCCAGGGAGGGGACATCCACAGCCCCTCTGGGCAACCTGTTCCCAGGGATGGGCAAGAACTCTCTTTTCAATTGTTGGATAACACTGCTGGCCTTGTCCCAGCTGGGGTTTGTGAACATGCTGGCACATAGCTTCAGCAGAAGGTCCTCATCTAAAGAACTGCCCCACAAAGCAGACTGAAGGTGTGTCTAGCTCCCTGCGCCATGCAGCAGGCTAGCTGTGGACACTTGAGGGAAAAGCAGTGAAATCACCATGCAGGTGATAGTCCCTCCTCTCTATGCTTCCAGTAGTCTCTTGTTCAGGAATGTTCTTAAGTAGTGACTTCCAGGCCCACTGTTCTTAGTATTACTGTAAGGTTCGTAGAAGGCACAGGCTTATCTAATCTATTTTTAAATTCTTCCTTTTGGTTTGCTTATGAACGTGCTCTTCACTTTAGTGGTAAGCTGTAGCATTGCCTTGGGAACATCACCATCTCCGTATGGTTAGTGACTGGAGACTGTTCCCAATAAAAAAACAGTCTGCAGCAGCTCCTGTATTCTCTTTTCAGGCTTATCCTGCAACAGCGATCAGTCTGTGAAAAGTTGATGTTACACAACCTCTGTGGTGACTGGTGTTCCTGAAAACATGCCATTGCCCTGCAAGGAAGCACAGAATGTCAAACACAGTTCAGGTGGTGTCAGATCAGTAACACGCTAGTGAGGCTGTCCTAATGCGAGAAGCTGCGATCACTGGCATGCAACAAGGATGAATTTGAGCAAATGTGGAGAATGGTTTTGAGGATGCTTTCAGTATTCATTGAATGGGAGGAGACAAGAAGAGTTTTAGTCCAGCATATAGATCAGATTGTTGCTGTTCCTGCGTGTGAGCTGTCTTAAACACCTGGGAGAATGACACAAGAGCAAATGGTTATGAAATGGACATAAAACCAATTGAAGTAGAGATTAAAAGATAAGTGAGAATTACAGCAATACAATTCCTGCCTAGTGATACTAAATCATAGCGAAGTAAAAACCGAGCAATTATTTAGGTGGTGCTGTAAACCTGCAAAAGGGGAGTAAATGAATGGGTGTCTGCAGTGTGGTTCTTGTAGTCTGTCTCCCTCTTACTCCATCCAGCCTAACAAATGTCTGCTCTGAAATCTTCTGGAACTGTTGATGAATTTTGGCATGTGCAATATAAAAAAAAGTATGAAATTAACAGCTGAGGATGGTACCTGGGTTGAGCCCTAGTTGGTGGGGTAAAAGGAGGCATCTTCAGCTTACCCTCTGGAAGTCCTTGGTGTGGTTATAGCACCTTTTTTTGGAACAAAGTAGGGAACTGTAGTGAGCTGTAAGTGTGCTTTTACTAGCTGGAGGGAAGAGCCAGTGACCTATGATTGGTAAGTCCTCCAGGAGACCACCAGCAGTAATCTGTAGAAACATACTTTAGAGCAGGAGCTGTTCAGTGGTTGAAGTTTGCTTGTCTTTGTGGGACCTGGGACTTGGATCTGTGGTATGACTCTCTTGCCTTCAGAAATCCTGTGTATCAGTGCTTCAACAAGAGAACTTAACAAATGGAGAGAATAGTCAAGCGTAAGTTCTGCTTGTCTAGGTAACCTGTCTGATCTACTACTTTAGTGTTTTGAAGTGATTGAGTTACCCAGTTTAGTTAGCCAGGTCATTTTGGTGGGTGGTTGTTTTGTTGGTTCTGGATTTTGTTTGGTTTTGTTTGGTGATATATTTTTTTTTTTTTTTGGACTGTCTTCTTATCTCCCACTTCCTTTGCCAGCAGTAGAGCTGTTTACCTGCTCCTTCATGAGACCCTTCGAAGTGGAGGGAAACTGCTGTTGTGCTGCTCCTTTTAACCTAAATCTATACTTTTCTAGCCTTCGCTCAGGAGTGATTTTTCTAAATCCTGTGGATTTCTTTTGAGTACTTTTCCACTTTGCGTACCATGGTGTTCAGCTTTGGTTGCAGCAGTCCTAAGATGAGGCCTCAGTGCTGAGTTGTGAAGGCTTAATTCCTTTTCTTTCCTTAGGCAGTACTTTTTTTATGTACACTGCAGGCCAGTGTAAGCCAGCACTGCTGCCAGAAATAGCTAGTGTCAACATCTGTGTAGTTACTCTGTGGGCTGTCATGGGGAAGCATATCTAGGTAAAAACTGTCACTTTCTCTGTGTGTGTGGTACTGGATTGAGGCTCTGGCGCAGTTTTGCGGTGACTATCCCCCGCTGTCCCACCTGCCACAATGGCAGAGCCAACACGACTTGCACCCCCTTTTTAAACCACCGACAAATTCAGTTTACGTTACTATGCGAGGTGTGAGCTGTGGTGCTTGAGGCTTGTTGTTTGTAGCCTCGCTATATTTAACAGCAGTGGCTAGAAGGGTTACGGCCTCCGCAGTTTGGAGGTGGAAGGGGCCGTATGGCCTGCAGGCTCCTCCAGTTGGTGGAGTCAGGAGTCTGTGGCCCTGCGTTTCTCTGCTCTGGTTGCTCTGCAGTGCTCTAGACAGTCTTTGAAGACCAGATGGGTGTGATGTGGACAGACCTAGTTGTGATTTCTCATTTTATCGTGGAGTGGGTAATTTATTATAAATTGTTTTTGTAGCCTCTTGATGATACTGAAGTGATCCAGAGGTAGGGTGTTGGAGCCAGGGAGGTAGTGCGCTTGGATGTGACCAAGGATCTTAAGCAACTCATCTCAGCCTTCATAGCCCGTCCTCAGGCTCAGTCAGCCAAGTAAGCTTCTGCACCCCATCATACGTGTCTGCCTGGATGGCAGGGTAGGGCCTCTCATCATTTCCAGCAACACTGAGCCTGAATGCTGGAAGCCAACCCTCAGCAGCACTGCAGCAGTGAGGCAGGGTCTGTAATAGAGGGCCCGGCATATGCTGGCCTAAATTGTTTTCTGGGTAGAGAAATTTGGTAAGTATTAATTTTCTTGCATTAGTGAGAGACAAATTGGGTGCTCTCAAAATGGGGAAATACATTGTCCGAAGACAATGTTTTAAACTTTCAAAATGTGATTTCAGTATTTATTCTGTAATAATTACAGGCAGGGTTGTGGGAGACATGGTGTAAATCAATCTTGCAGAGAGATGCATATACCAAATAGCAAATCTTCTAAGGTACAAGATGTGTTATTTTCAGGGGTTTGTATCTAATTTGACCCTATTTAACAGCTAAGGAGTTGAAAAGTTACGAATTCATCGCTGGTGAGGGTAGCTAATCTATAAACCAGTGGTTGTTTGGATTTTGTAGCCTGTGAATTTTTTTCTTGGGGGGGGGGGGGCAGGCACTATTCATCAGTGCATTTATTTACACTATTTGCACATTTGTATATGTAAATATAAGCCCTGCCTACGCTGAAGAGGCAACTGTGCAGTGATATTTGCGTATGTAAAATAGGCTGTGCTGAACTACATGGAGTAAAACCTGTGTGGAGTAAAACTACGCAGCTGTACTGTGATCTTGTATCAGCCCTGCATAGAAGTGGGGTAAATACCTTCTGATGATGATGTTCTGTATTGGCCTTCAGCTGTAGTCTGGCAGCAAACACACTGTTTTTAAAAAAGAAACTGTTACAGAAGTTCTGGAGTCTGAGAATTGCCACTGGTGTCACCCTAGTGTAGAGGAGCACGGATTTCAAGTATACTTAAAATACTTGGAACTCTGTTTCACAACTTCTGTGCCTGTAGCTAGAGCTCTGCAGTTTAGAATGTTAAACTAATAACTTTTTAAACGTTTTTCCTAAAAAATAAAAGGTATATTAGAGCTAAGCCCACTTCATTGGGGGTGGGGTTGGGTGGGAGAAGGGTAATAACTTTGCATTTTAAATTGGAAAATTCTTCACATTCAGAAAGTATTAAACCAAGCCTGTGGAATAATACCCATTTCCCAAACTACTGGTTTTGGGCTTGACCCTTGGGCTCATCCTTATTCCCCTGAGATTTTTTTAATTTTTTTTTTTTTTTTAATTTGTCAAAGGTATTAGTTGGAAATTTGGGACAAGTAAAGAAGCTGACAGTTGAAAAATTTTTTCTTACTGCCATATTATAATTAATTAAATGTTCAGGTCTTAGGCAGATGTTAACAGTTACTTTAAGTAGCTGATTTTTCTGGCATGTTTGCAAATGATTTTTGACTAATAGTGCATGTGGCTGATATCTAAAATAGTGTCTTTGCATTTCTTTTGTGTGACTTTCATACTAACCTGACTGATGAACGAACGTACACTGAAGGAATTGGTAAATTGTCCACTGCCGATGGTAAAGCCTTCGCAGATCCTGAGGTTCTCCGAAGACTGACATCCTCGGTCAGCTGTGCACTGGATGAAGCTGCTGCTGCATTGACGCGGATGAGAGCAGAGAACAATCACAATGCAGGACAAGTGGACAAGTATGTATTGATGGCTCCCCGCCCCCAGTTTCCCAGCTATGGAATGTAAGTTTGTGTTTTCAGTTTCAAGTTCAGTTAATTTTATAGTTAGTACTTGGTAATGTATCTGCTCTGCCACTAGCAGAAGCAAAGTTACTGAATCTGAAGGTGTAACTACTGTCCCATCAGGTTATTGGCTTCAAAGTGTAAGAGAAAAGTGAAAAAATAAACAAGAAACTTTCTAACCTGCTGCTTTTTTTTGTGTACTAGACAGTTGATTTCTTTTTTTTAAAAAAAGGATTAAATTCTTGGCTGTAGAAGTGTTGGTGATAGTTCTCTAATTACCACCTCAGCATACTTTGGAAACTAATGAATTTAGTTCATTGTATTAAAAGTTGGAAGAGAATACTAATACTTAGAGGGCAGCAATTTGCCCTAGGATCTTGCTCAGGAACTTAGGGGAAAATGAAACTATATTATCTGATAACTTTTTGTAACTGATAATTAATGAGGACAGCGTTTAACTCCCTTGATGACAGAACTGAGGATTTGTCACGTGTCATCAAAAGCTTCCTTCTACATTGGTAATTTCAGAGCATTTTTAGGATTCCTGAAATATTTTCTACTCTGACAAGTGATGCATAGTTCCTAAACTGTTGGGGTGGTGTGACTGGGTATACTGTTTAACGTCAGAACTAAGATCAAAAATTTAAGGTCTCAAGTTTCCTTTCATATGCATGTCCTCTTGAAATTCAGACTTGGGATTTGCAAAATAAAGTGCTTGCACTAAGGGCAGTCATCTTGAGTCATTGCTCAAAATGTAGTTACAGATACAGTTTCATTTCCTAACTGAAGCTAGAGCAATTACTTGTGGATCAAAACATGGAGAGCTGAAAATATGCTGGGGAACCGTGCTTGAACATAAAAAGGAAGTGCACAAGAGGTGGAAGCAGACCAGGTGACCCGTGCAGAACATGGAGACCATGCCCAAGCATACAGGGATGTGGTTAGGAAAGCCGAGCCCACCTGGAGTTGAATCTGGCACAGGGCATGAAAGGCAACAAGATAAACTATTGTGAGTGTGTCAGCTGTAAAAGGAAGATGAGGGAAGATGTGGGCCTCCTCAGAATGCGGCAGGGGACCTGCTGACGGGGACACAGAAGAGGAAGAGGTGGTGGATGATAGTGAATGCAGCCTTTGGCCTGAGCTTTACTGGGGAGATTTGTTTTCAGGAATCCCAGGCCTCTGAGGTGAGCGGGAAGGTCTGGACCAGGGAGGGCCTGCCCCTTGAGTTGATATTGGGTCAGGGAGCATTTAAACAGGTTGGACGTAAACCAGTGGACAAGTTCATGGGACCTGATAGGATGCACCCATGAGTACTGAAGGAGCTGGCTGGTGTCATGGTGAGGTCAGTCGTAATTTATTTGAGCGGTCATGAGGAATGAGGGAGGGTCGTGAGGACAGAAGAAAGCAAGTGCCACCCCTGTCCTCAAGGAAGGCAAGAAAGAGGATCCAGGGAACTTAAAGGCAGGTCAGTCTCACATCAGTCCCTGAAAAGGTGATGGAAATCCTCCTGGAAGCAATTTCCTAACGTAGTAAGTACAAAATGTCAATGGGAAGTAGTCAGCACAGTTTTACAAAGGGGAGATCAAGCTTGGCCTGATCGGCTTCTACAGTGAGATGGTGACGTTAGTAGATGAGAGGAGAGCAGTGGGTTCTGTTTATCTGGACTTTAGCAAGTCTTTTCACACTGTATCCCACAGCATCCTGTGGGATGAGCTGATGAAGTACAGACCAGGTAGGTGGACAGTGAGGTGGAAAACTGTCTGAACTACTAGGCTCAGGGTTGTTAGTAGCATGAAGTCCAGGTGAAGGCAAGTTGCTAGTGGTCTGCTGCAGGGGATGGTATTGGGGCTAGTACTGTTCAACGTCTTCATCAGTGACCTGCGTGATGGTACAGAGTGCGTTCTCAGCAAATTTGCAGATGATGCAAAACGGAAAACAGTGGTTGATGGACCAGACAGTTGTGCTGCCATTCAGAGGGACCTTGGCAAGCTGAAAAAAAGGGGTCAGCAGCAATCTAGTGAAATTCAACAAAGGGAAATGCAGAGTCTTGCACCTGGGGAGGAATATGTTTGTGCATTGGTACGGATCAGCGGGGCTGAATGGCTGGAAATCAGCTCTGAAGATGACCTGAGTTTCGTGGTGGACAACAAGGGGAATATGAGCCAGCAGTGCACCCTTGGAGCAAAGGTCTACGCATCCTGTGCTTCATTTGGAAGGGCGTCCCGGTGTCATTCTTGTCACTTTTACAGAATGTCCTGGAAATGTCTCAAAGGGAACCTGAATAGAGAGCAGACTGGGAGACCTCTTGAGGTGCCTGGGTCAGCTAGAATCAACTATGAGTCTTGGTTTTAATAGCTTTTTCTGAGAGCGTATATGGTTTCACAGTAGTTCCATATTATATGAGATGGCTTAAGGTCGTCTTATGAGGATGATGGATCTGTTTCAGGGTTTGTCTGGCAGGTTATGGTGTTGAATGGCTCCTGTTTTGAAAGGCTAGACTATGTGTGTGCAAAAGTCATGAATCCCCACCCTCCCCTTCAGCTGAACACGGGAACCCAAGCTGTAAATACCCGTTTACTAACTGCTGTGCTCACACAGCTGTCCTTACTACCATCCAGGAGAAGGTGGCAGGTTCGATAGCGTCCTGCAGCCTTCTACTGGGATCCCATTGCTTCAGTATATGGAGTTGACTATGTAGCCAAATAATAAACTTTACCAAAATACAATTTTTTTTGCTTAAAATACTTAGTGATTACAATGCAAATATAAATGATCAGATACTGGATATTCTTTTCAGGTCAGATCTTGGCTTTTATCTGGCAGCTGCTAGCACAGATTATTTCATTTTGGGGTATATGGCAAATGAGTTCCTTTTAAAAGCGGAACTTCACATAGTTTAACCATTACAGTCTTTGAACAATTGAAAATTGGAACTTGTATGCTTTCCTGAGGGAAGTTTGTGCACAAATGGATATTTTCTTCATTGTGAATGAATTTCTTGAGTGAACTTCTATCTTTCACTGAAGAAAAGAAGTTGGAGGTTTTTATTGAACCTGAGTGTACTAAGTTTTGTTTTAAGAAAAAAGCTTCCATATCTTGCAAATAAAACACACTGATGGGAATGCATCACATACAGTCTGCTACTGTTAATAACAGAAGGCTCTTCTTCCCTTCCCCCCTGACCAGGGCATTAACTGTGGTTTGCTTCCCAGTGACTGAGGGACCAGGTTTCCTTGCATATGGCTACAGGCTGTTCAGAAGGGACAGGTGAGGAAGGAGGGGCAGAGGCATTGCCCTCTACATCAAGAAATGGATAGAGTGTGAAGAGCTGTCTCTGAAGAATAGCCACGAGCAGGTTGAAAGCTTATGGATAAGAGACGAAGAGAACGAAGGGAACCTTGTGGTTGGTGTCTGCTCCAGGCTGCCCGATTAAGGGGAGCCTATGGACAAAGCCTTGTTACTCCAGCTATAGGAGGCTTCGTGCTCATGGGGTCTTGTCCGGCTGGGGGACTTCAGCTGCCCCAAAATCTGCTGGAAAAGTAGCACAGTGAGCTGTAGGCATCCAGGGGACTGCTGGAATGCACTGAGGATAGCTTCTTAACCCAGGTAATAGACAGCTCTACCAGAGGGAATGCGATACTGGACCTGATGGTCACCAACGCAAGGGAGCTATCAGTGATGTTAAGATTAGAGGCAGCCTGGGCTTCACTGATCATGCACTGGTGGAGTTCACAGTCCTGAGGTGTGTGAGTCAGGCAAAGAGTAAAGTCAGGACTCTGAATTTTAGGAAAGCAAACTTCCAGCTGTTCAAGGAGTTAGTCAATAGGATCCCTAGGAAACTGCCCTTGGGGACAGGGACCCAGAACAGAGCTGGCAGATCTTTGAGTGCTTTCCATAGAGTACAAGAGCTGATGATCCCCAGGTGTAAGAAGTCAGGCAAGGAAGGCAAGAGACCAGCATGGCTGAGTCAAGACCTGCCGGGAAAGCTGAAGGTCAAGAGGAAATGCACAGGCAGTGGCAGCAGGGACAGTATCCTGGGAAGAGCATAGGGACGCTGCCTGGCTGTGTAGGGATGGGGTCAGGAAGGCCAAGGCGCAGCTGGAGCTGAACTTGGCAAGGCATGCAAACAGTAATAAGGGGGGCTTCTACAGGTAGGTCAGCCGGAAAAGGAAAGTCAAAGAAAACGTACCCCCCCCGATGAGCAAAACTGGCAAACTGGTAACAAAGGATGAGAAGAAGGCTGAGGTACTCCACAACTTTTTTGCTCAGTCTTCACTGCAACCTCTCTTCCCACACCTCTCAAGTGAATGGACTGCATAAATGGGGACTGAGGGAGCAAAGTCCCTCCCACTGTAAGAGAAGATCAGGTTCATGACCACCTGAGGAACCTGGACATACATGAGTCTATGGGACCTGACAAGATGCATCCCAGAGTCCTGAGGGAAGTGGCCGATGTAGTTGCCAAGCCACTCTCCATGATATTTGCAAAGTCATGGCAGTCAGCTGAAGACCCTGGCGACTGGAAAAAGGGAAACGCTGCACCCATTTTTAAAATGGGTAGAAAAGAGGATGCTGGGAATTCCCAGCCTTTCAGCCTCACCTCTGTACCTGGGAAGATCATGGAACAGATCCTCCTAGAAGCTATGCTAAGACACATGGAGGACAGGGATGGGATTTGAGACAGGCTGCATGGATTCGCCTGACCAACCTAGTGATCTTCTATGATGGATTGACTACATCAGTGGACAAAGGAAAAGCTATGCATGTTGTCTGTCTGGACTTCTGTAAGGCCTTCGACATGGTCCCCCACAGCATCCTTCTCTATAAATGGAGAGATAGGGATTTGGTGGGTGGACTGTTTGGTGGATGAGGAGTTGGGTGGATGGTCACATCCAGAGGGTAGTGCTCAACGGCTTGATATCCATCTAGAGACTGGTGACGAGTGGCATGTCTCAGGGATCCCTACTGGGATGAATACTATTGAGTAGCTTCATCAACGACATAGACAGTGGGATCGAGTGCCCCCTCAGCAAGTTTGCCAATGACCCCAAGCTGAGTGGTGCGGTTGACGCTCCTGAGGGACGGGAGGCCATCCAGAGGGACCTGGACAAGCTTGAGAAGTGGGTCCGTGTGAACCTCATGAGGTTCCCCAAGGCCAAGTGCAAGGTCCTGCACCTGGGCTGGGGCAAACCCCAGTATTGATACAGACTAGGGGATGAAGGGTTTGAGAGCAGCCCTGCTGAGAAGGACTTGGGGGTACTGGTGGATAAAAAGCTGAGTACGAGCCAGCAGTGTGTGCTCGCACCCCAGAAAGCCAACCCCATCCTGAGCTGCATCAAGAGCAGCGTGTCCAGCAGATCGAGGGAGGTGATTCTCCCCCTCTGCTCTGGTGAGACCCCCCCTGCAGTCCAGCTCTGGGGCCCCCAGCACAAGACAGCCAGACATGGACCTGCTGGAGTGGGTCCAGAAGAGGGCCACGAAGATAATCATGGGGCTGGAGCACCTCCCGTATGAGGACCGGATGAGAGAGTTGGGCTTGTTCAGCCTGGAGAAGAGAGGGCTCTGGGGAGACCTTAGAGCGGCCTTCAGTGCTGAAAGGGGGCTACAGGAAAGGTGGGGAGGGACTCTTGATGAGGGAGTGTGGTGATAGGATGAGGGGTAATGATTCCAGACTGAAAGAGGGGAGATTTAAATTAGGTATTAGGAAGAAATTCTTCACTACAAGGGTAGTGAGGCACTGGAACAGGTTGCCAAGAGAAGCTGTGGCTGCCCCCTCCCTGGCAGTGCTCAAGGCCAGGTTGGACGGGGCTGGGAGCAACCGGGTCTGGTGGAAGGTGTCCCTGCCCATGGCAGTGGGATTGGACTAGTCTTCAAGGTCCCTCCGAACCCAACCCGTTCTGTGATTCTGTGATAATGTGTGCTCGCAGCCCGGAAGGCCAGCTGTATCTGGGCTGCGTCAGGAGAAGCAGGATGAGGGAGGGGATTGCCCACCTTTACTTCACTCTCATGAGACCCCACCTGCAGTGCTGCATCCAGCTCTGGAGTCCTCAGCACAAGAATGACATGGACCTGTTGGAGTGAGTCCAGAGGTGGCCAGAAGATGCTCAGGGGGCTGGAGCACCTCCCCTGTGAGCACAGGCTGAGAAAGTTGGGGTTGTTCAGCCTGGAGAAGAGAAGGCTCCGGGGAGCGCCCTTCCAGTGCTTAAAGGGAGCCTGCAGGAAAGGTGGGGGCAATCTTTTTAGCAGGGCCTGTTGTGATAGCGCAAGGTTTTAAACTAAAAGAGAGTAGATTTAGACTAGTTATGATGAAGACATTTTTTATGATGAGGTGGTGAAGCACTGGAACAGGTTGTCCAGAGAGGTGGTAGAAGCCCCGTTCCTGGAAACATTCCAGGTCAGGCTGAACGGGGCTCTGAACAACCTGATGTAGTTGAAGATGTCCCTAGTTACTGGAGGGGGCTTGGACAAGATGGCCTTTAAAGGTCCCTTCCAACACAAAACATTGTATGATTCTATATAGTTTCTAAATAAAATTGTGTTGTCAGTTGGAGAAGTGTAACTGAGTTGGTCCTGAGCATGGCTTGCTCTTGTTTACACTTGCTTTTAGCAGTGCTTTAACATTTGTCTTTGCTGTTAGACTGCGTCTTTGTATAGAAGAAGGTTTAAAGGATGGGTGACTTGGTCTGAAATAAATTGAAACTCAGCTCACCTTTTTCAAGATTTGTATGGTGCACTTTCTAGGTCTCGGGGAAACGGCTATTCTCTCTACTTCAGAGATTCATGATGGTTAAAGTAGTGATTATAGACTTCTGAGCTTTTAGATGTCAAGAGCTTGGGGTTTGTCTTGTCTTTTCATTCTAACTCTTAGCTTGTCATTACCTCTTACAGCTCTTTTAAGTGTGAGTTAGTAGTGTTCCATATAGGTTTTGTGTTGTTGCTGCTGTTTAAAAAACGTGCAGTTCAATTGGCTTATTTCATCCATCTGAAAACTTCTGTGATATGCTTTTAATGGTGCCTGAAAGGAAACAGTAAACTTCTGTAAAGCCCCTCTCCTTTCTTCCTTTAACACGTCCTTAGGTAAGGTAAGGATTTTTCTTTGAAATGGCTGCTTAAATGAAGAAACTGGTGGTTTCAATTAAAAGAAAAACAACTTTGGGCTATTGCAGAGAAGGAAATAGTCCCACTACAGGAAAGACAATGGTCAGAATTTTGGCTTGTTGCAGTGTTCAGTGTTAGCGGTCTCTGTGATACTAGGCTGTTCACTTTTTGGCTTGATCTCTACTACTTTGCCTTCGTACCTATAGTCAGGAGTTTGGCGTGGTTGTAGCCTCGGTGTGTCTGGCATTCACCCAAAGTGTGAATAGCATCAGTGAGATTTACCTCTGTATCTTGCAGACGCCATCGATTACCCAGTTCTCAGCATTCTTCTCTGCATATAGTCTTTATGAGAGTTTATGTGAGTTAATAATTGGTGAGGAGAAGAGCTAATTTAGACATAGGCAAGGTCTTTATCTCTGTTTCAGCTGTGGAGATGTGTGTGTATATATATACTTTTCCTTGAAAAACGCTAAGGTACATTTTCTAGTCAGGTTCAGTGCTACTGTCATGAGTCTTTACTTAAAGGCTTCTTCCTTCATAGGAAAGTTGCCCATCTATTGCAGATTTATTTGAGCTTATTCTGTGGTAACTGATTTTCCAGTCGCAGTTTGGCAGAAGCATGCTCAGATGGGGATGTGAATGCTGTCCGGAAGCTGCTGGATGAAGGAAGAAGCGTAAATGAACACACTGAAGAAGGGGAGAGTCTCCTTTGCTTGGCCTGTGCAGCAGGATATTATGAATTGGCACAAGTAAGTAACAAATGCAACCACAACTAAACCTTTCTGAAGCAATGTCTAAGGGGCTGCTTTGATAGATAAACACTTTAGCTATTCTGATTATAATAATTTTTTGTAATCTAAACCGAATATTAGTTAATATAGTTTATTGTGGACTTTCAGTTATTGTTTGTCTCTTTAGTGGAAAATGCCATCGTATATGCCTTTAGGTTTAAGAGACTTGTCCAAGGAATGTGTCTTGTGTTTTATGATGTATCTGCTTTTCTGGCATTGTTCTAGATGCAGTCAAGCTGTTCTGCCAAGCAGACATTACAAGAGGATCTAAAATAGCAGCAAAATCAAGTACTACAAGTGGTTACCTTCTAAAAACTCATGTCTCGGTCACTCAATCCTTTTTGTAATCACATCTGTATCAACAGTGCATTAATTTGTTTTGGTTTTTGGCTTTTATACTTGTGTATCTAAGGGCAGAATTTGTGCTGGGGCGAAGATGTTTAGGTGGTATTTCTCAGAGTGGCCAGCTTCATGTTTTAGTGGCAGGCAAGAGTACAGGGAGGAAACTGTTTACCTGTAAGCTTGACCTGGTGTGTGCTGTGGTCATTAATGCAAGTTTACGGTTTCTCTGCTGTTATTCTGGTTAGTGAATTGCCCTGCGACTTCTGAAGACGTCAGTGTTGCACTGCACCTTAATGTTGCTTTTAGCAGCTATGAACAAGTGTAGAAAACCAGCATTTCCTGAAGCAGAGCGCAGTGTGGGCAGTAATTAGAAATGGTCCTGGGGAGGGCCATTGTGCTTCACCGTTGGGGGTGTTGCTGCAAGGGGATGTCACGGCTGGCTGGGGAATCATTCTCACAAGCCCCAGTGAACTGAAAGCAAAATGTCGGTGTTACAATTTATTCATTGAAGTGAACTTTTTTTCTCTAGGTGTTGCTAGCAATGCATGCGAACGTTGAAGATCGAGGGAATAAAGGAGACATAACTCCCTTAATGGCAGCTGCCAGCGGAGGCTATGTAGATATTGTTAAACTTCTCCTTGTTCATTGTGCCGATGTCAACGCACAGTCTTCAACAGGTAACTGGGAAGCAGGACACGAATTAGTAAGACTGGCATGTAAGATGTGCAGCTGTTCTGAACATCTGTGATCTCTGGTTTAATCTGGTAGTTTCATTCGTGAGAAAACATGACAATAGGCCGAATACATAGTGGATGTGTTTAGAGTCTTACCTGGCCATTATTAAAGATTGTTTTTAATATAAACTGTAATGAAAAGCACAGGAACAATGCTTTAGATGTTCTCATCTGTATAATCCAAAATTACCCCGTAGGGAGACCATGGGACACATCTGATCAAAACCGGTGATTTTGGTCTATTGCTTTTTCCCGAAGAGGAGGTACAATTCTTGGAGCATTGAATGTTGTCTACATTGCTGATGCTTGACCACAGTTTAACTCACCTTGCTGAGAGTATTAACCTGCAGTTGGGTTCTGCTAATATTGAGACAGAATTTAAACTGTGTTCAGATTTCAAAAAAGTTGGGTGTCTGAACTATGAAATATTCTTTTTATCTTGATGTTTAGCCATATTAAGCAGAACTTACCTTAAAACTGACTGTAGCGTTTAGAACACGAGCCAGATGTGACTCTGTCACTTGTGGTACCAGAGTTTTAAATTATAAATTTGTTTTCATCCGGCCAGTAAAAGTTTTTCAAGGTATTACAGGATACAGTCTTGAGCATCCC